GTGATAAAAGCAACTGGAGTGAGTGAGCTTCTGTTGGTGAGTCTGTGATCTCTATATCAAGCCAGACTAGCTTGTTAGTAGAGTAAGTGGGTTGAGAAACCAGGGAAAGGCCAGAGAGTCTGGAAGATGAATGAGACATGCATTTGTATGTGTGCATCTCTGCGAGTGAGACAGATGGAGAGGGCTATCTGTTGAGGGAGTCAGGAGGTCCAGGTCAACTGTTGAGGTCACTATAAGTTCTGGGGGTTCTTCAGGAGTCCTGTCTATATATTGTGTATCTCAGTGCAACCGGAGACAAGATGATCCAAAGGCCAGCTCCTGGGTAGGCTGAGTGTCTAAGACTAGTTAATTGAGAGATCCACAGTATGTGTGCCTGTGCATGTGTTTGTGCATGTACGTAGGATTCTCTGGAGTGGGGCAGCACTACAGCAACTGGCTGCAGACCTTCGAGGCTCAGAAGTCCAAGTATCAGCAACCCAGGAGAAGAAGAATCCAGGGCCTAGCTACTGGGTAGGCTGCATGCTCAAAGCCAGTTAGTAGAGGATCCATAGCGTGCCTCTGTGTGTGTGAAGGGATGTAGCAGTGAGTGAGGCTGAATACTAGCAAAAGGAGTAGGGCTGCAAGCTTTATGTGCCAGCATATGGAGAGATGACAGATCCAGAGGTCAGCTTCTGGAGACTAAATGGTTAAGGACAGTTATGGCAGGGATCCGTATTGTATATAAATGCATATATATTTCCCTCTAACAAACCTTCATCCTAACCACCCAGAAAGGGGAGCAGGATGAGGCCATTGGTGGTGCTGTTTCTATTTGCATGACTGGTGAGTGGTTCTATCTTTGCTAATCTTCGTGGCTGGCCATTCACATATGTGCAGTGCCTACGTATGTTTGTGTGTGTGCCTGTTGGGAATACCCACTCAACCTTGCTATTGGTTGCACCCAGAGACGTGAAGCTGCAGCAACCTTGCTTATGTGAGGTTACTGGATTTGACAACGCTTAACAATATTTTTGCACAAGCCCAGAGAATTCTTTCTCTTTCCAGCCTTCTTAGAGAGCATTCACAGTCTTCCTACTTGTTCATGTTCAAGGCATGATCATAGAAGGCAGAATAAGCTCAGTAACATTTCAGTTCTTTTCAAGAAGTCTGCTAGAACTTTGCTGCTTGGGGCATTCAACTCCATAGCAAAGTTAACTCTCTGAATGTTACCTTTTACCGTACTGCCTTATCTAGCGATGTACATGTACATTTGGGTATATTCAGAATTCAACTGGACAAGGTTTTGAGCAACCTATTGTATTTAACCTGGCCTTGAACAGAGTGTGGATAAAGATGACCTCTGGTACCTCCCTTCCAGTTTGTTTCATTCTGTAATTCAATGGTTTGGTCATTCTTTGCACCAGATTCTCATCCCACAGGTGAAGAGATTCTTTTGCTGTCTTCTCAGGATCAACTTTCTTGTCAACGGCTATAGTTTGGGCAGGCTTGGGTTGTATAATTCCTTCTTGCATCACTGCACTGTTAAGACACTGAGGACAAGTATTCCTCAATTCAGAAAGCAGCTGGGCCATCTTTGCCTCCATTAAGGTTATTTAAGGGTGAATTGTCATCCTCTCAACATCAGGAGAGCATTTTACCTGTAATGTAAGCACTAAATAGTCTTGGTTGAAGGTACAGGCTATCCAAAACCTTAAAATCATTAACATGCCTATTTTGAGCATCCTGATCTGTAATAGCAACTTCCAGACTGGCCAGTTGATCTTGATGTTGACATTATAGTATAATGTAGCCCAAGAGGTTGGTTTGTGATGTAAGTACAGACTAGTACTAGCTCAAGTATTGGGGATTTTTTTTTTCACTCTTTCTGGCTTGCAAGAACAAAGGATACTTCAATGAGAGTTTAATTAGTTTAAAATTTTGTTTTGCAGAGACTGTAATGAACCCATTTGACTCCTCTGTAAAATATGATTGTTTTCTTTTTAGTTCAGGGAAGAAAAATACAGGAGAATCTTTCATCAGTTGTTTTTCTCTTCTTTGAACTAAAATAACTCTCATAATATGAAATTGCAATATCATTCTTCAAAACTGAAATTAAAGCAGGAGTCAAAAAAGAATTGTCATCATTTCATGTGTTTAAAAGCCTCCAGATTGCTCAGATGTCTTGCTTATTCCCCATTTTTAATGTAGAATGGAGTGTTCTATTCAGTTCCATTGATACTCTGAGATGACCTCAATCAGTGTTGCCTCTAGCAGCATCAGGGACTGGACTGAGCCTGGGTCTAACATGATCTTGCAAGATCCTTGATTTTGAGCAAGATAGAAAGGGTGTAAGCCATTTTTTTTCCAAATTGGCAAATTCAGCTGAACAGATCATTTATATCTGCACTGAAGAGCAGCAGAATACTGAGTACACTGAGGATGTGGAATGCTGCATCAATCATCAGTACTGATGGAGTGACATATTGAAGGCTTGTACCTGTACACATTCATAGTGTTAAATCAGTGTTAAACTTATAAACACTTAAACTTATAAACAGTGTCTATATATAGGTCAGAAGTTAGGGTGGACCAAGGACCACTCCTCAGAGATGGCTGGATGCAGCCATGCACTTCTTTGGAGTTGGAATTTTTAGGCATGTGAACATGAACCATACTGTGCCTGTTGTCCTCAGAATTAGAGAGCAGTTTAACAACTTGTTAGATTTGTGAGTGTGCCTGCAGCTAGTGTGACTGGGGATCTGATTCAAGGCATGGAGCCAGTAGGAGAGGGAGAAAGAGAATTAAAATAGCAAGGGACTTTGGACTGCAGGTTGTGAAATGAGATTTATGCACACAAAATTCTCGTGTACTTTTCTTATTTTCCTAATGCTTTCTGACTTAAAATATTCACTGTGAGAGGGACAGCTCTGTCTGCTTCAGGCTGCCTGTTTCTGTTTGCTTGTGAAGTACTTATGTGCTTGATAAATATTACCTTGCTCACTGGTGAGAAGCTATCTGGAGAGTATGCTTGACATGGCAAGCAGTCTGCTGAGCAAGTCTTCTCTATTTTCTTTCCTCTTCTTTCCTTTCTCACTTTTTATCTGGCTTTCTGCGCCCTGATTAGCTTTTCTCTATTTTATTTTCTTCTAGAGTTTCCATGGGGTAGAGGCATTATACTTTGGTAAATGGGAGACTCAAACCTGATTAGAAAAAAAAGTTCTTTCTGTGTTGAAAAATTACCTTGTATATTATTTCAGCATATCAAGGCAATGTCTGAGAACCCAGTGGCAAAGTAATGACATGAGACAGTGCCAGACCATGCAATTGAGACCGTAATGGGTGTGGGGGAATGCCAAGTTCCTCTGCTGCCAGGACAGCCTAGGGAAGACTGTGCCTCAGGGAGACATAGGCCTTTTGCAGAGGTTCTGCTGCTCAGAGTAACCATCTGAGCCAAGCTACCCTTGAGTTCTGAGCTGCTCAGCATTTCTCAAGGTCTGTTAGACAATTTTAGTGAGGTTGTACTTAACCAGTATGCTCTTTTCAGTTTTGGCAAGCCTGCCCAGGTATTTTGTACTGCTTTTGAATCAAGGAATCAGCTCCTCAGGAAGGTCTAGGAAATATAAGGTCTCTTGTAGGAATATAGGGAACATAGTTCAGGCACACCAATGAAGGCTGAGGTCTGGATAAACTTCCTCACTTGATCATATCTGCTTTAGGATGGGTCTAGTCTTTCCTTTCTGATGATTAATGTGGAGTGAATCCCCAGGTGCATTGGTATGGATAGTGACATCAGCAATCCATAAATTGGAAATAGAAAACACTGAGGATCTCTCTCCTGCATAAAACATGGAACAATCATACCTATAAACTTTTACAAGGGGAATAGGAATAATGAATCCTATTTGTAAATAAGCTGGCTGTTGCTATTGGGTTCTAGGTTGGCTTTTTTTATCTGTTTTTTAAGGTTTTGCTTTTTTAAAGCAACAAAATGGAAATAGGAAAGCCAAAATAAGCAAATTAAGTTTTCCAGAATTAAAGAAAAAGCAGTTGATTCATACAGTGTTTATCAACACATATAAATATCTATTCCAGAGAGTCTTGTTCTTCTTCTATGTTCTCACTATAAATCTGCACGTTAAAGTGCACATGCTTCCTTACCAGTAACTTCCAAGGTCATCTCAGACCTTGACAAGTATTTTGGAGAATGATAACGTTTATAGTTTGCACTGTCACAATTTCTTCTGTGTTTCTCTGTACCCAAATAGAGAATAACATGTCCAAGAGCCGTCAAGGCTAGTATCTACCTCCAGCAGTAGATTCAATAACAATGGAAATGCAGACCAGCTGTGGGAATAAACTTGGCCTGTGAAACTCTGCATGTGCCCTACTCCTGAGCAGGATAATGCAACAGACTATTTCATACTAATTTTCCTGATAAAACTGGGACTCCTACATAGGCTTGCAATGTAATGCCCAGATCCAGAACAAAGTGAATCCATTACGGGATCAACTGGGTCGTCATCCTAAACCCCAAAAGAAATTTGTTTCCAGAACTGGAAACAAACGTGTCTTGACCTTGTGTCCACATTTACACCTACAAATAAAACAGGCAACCGTAGTCCTAAGGAGACTGACATGCATTCATGTAACTCATCTCTCTGTCCCGCCTTTTCCTTTCCAAAAAGAGAGTGGCCTCATCTGTACTGTTCATTATGATGACTCTGCTCCCTGCTGTCAGTGTGATTACACTTTGCCTGGGAAAGTCTGGTCAGAACATTGCCAAGCAACTTGCTAATCATGACTTAGCATGATTATGTGCCCAGTGCCTCTGCCCCTATCTTAGGCCTTCTTAGTTTGCTAGTGTGTGCATAACTGTCATATTTAATCTCAAAACATTAATGTATATTTTTGGTGTATGGAAGCCTTACAAGACAATCTTGTAAGGAACAGATAAGATTTTAGTCTGACTTGGAATAGCACAAAATACTCTTTTTATTTATTTTTTTTTTAAATATAAACAGAAATACTTCTGGATACAACTCAAGAGACTTCAGAGATTGGCTGGACCACACACCCTTCTGATGGGGTAAGCATTTCCCTTGTCCTCTTCTGACCGTGCCTCTGCTGGGAAGACGTGCGTGCATCTGATGAAGAAAGGGAACCTGGAAGCAGTGAGACTTTGTTTATGGGTTTTGTACATGTGAACAATTTGAACACAATGTGTTCTGCAAAGCCAGATTGTTAAGAGAGGAGAATACTGGGCGGGATACTATTGTCACCTCCTTACCATCTGCCTTCCACTGTCCTAATATAAATAAATATCCCTCCGCATTGATAGAATAGAATAGAGTAGAGTAGACTAGACTAGAATATTTCAGTTGGAAGGTACCTACAGCAATCACTTAGTCCAGCTACCTGACCACTTCGGGGCTGACTAAAAGTTAAGGCATGTTGTTATAGGCATTGTCAAATGCTGACAGGCTTGGAGTATTGACCACCTCTCTAGGGAGCCTGTTCCAGTGTCTGACTACCCTCTCAGTAAAGAAATGTTTCCTAATGTCAATTCTGAGCCTCCCCTGATGCAGCTTTGAACCGTTCCCATGCATCCTATCACTGGACCCACTGAGAAGGGATCAGCTCCTCCCTCCATTTTCCCTCCTCAGGAAGCCGCAGATAGCAAGAGGATTGCCATTCAGCCTCCTTTTTAACAAGCTAGACAAACCCAGAACCCTCAACTGCTCACCACAGCATATGCCTTCCAGCCCATCCACCAGATTTTTTGCCCTCCTCTGGACTCATTTCAGGACTTAAACACCTCTCTGAAATGGTGGGGCTCAGAACTGCACCCGACACTCCTTGTGAGGCCACACCAACGCTGAGCACAGTGGGATAATCCCCTCTTCTGACTGGCTGGTGATGCCGTGTTTGATGCTCCCCAGGACATGGTTTGCCCTCGGGACTGCCCAGGCACACACTGCTGACTCACACTGAGCTGCTGCCCACCAGCACCCCCAGGGCCCGCTCTGCAGGGCGCTCTCCAGCCGCTCCTCTCCCAGTTTAAACTTGTGTGCAGAGTTACTCCATCCCAGGTGCAGCATCTGGCATTTGTTCTTGTTAAGTTTCATGCCATGGGTGACTGCCTAATGCTTCAATCTATCCAGATCCCTCTGCAAGCTCTTTTGTCCCTCCAGAGAGTTGACAGCACCTGCCAGTTTAGCCTCGACAGCAAACTTGCTAATGGTGCCTTCAACTCCTATATCCAGGTCATTGATAAATACCTTGCACAGAACTGGCCCTAGAATTTTGCCCAAGAAATACTGCTGCTGACCAGTCACCAACCAAATGTAGCCCCCTTCACAGTGGGTTTCTGCAGGGCTCCCTTTTAGGGCTGGTGTGCCTTAATGCCATAATAAATGACTTGGATTCAGGACTCAAAGGAATTCTAGGTAAGTTTGCTGCTGATACCAAGGTGGGAGGAGCTGTTGAGTCCCTTGAAGGCAGAGGCCCTGCAGAGAGAACTCGACAAATTAGGGGATTGGGCAATTACCGACCATATGAAATTTAACAAGAGGTGGATTCTGCACCGGGGATGGGGTATGTACAGACTGGGGAACAAGAGTCTGGAGAGCAGACTGGACAGGCATCTGGGGGTCCTTGTGGATAGCAAGTTGAATATGAGTCAGCCATGCCCTGGCAGCCAGGAGGGCAACCCATGTCCTGGGGGGCATCAGGCAAAGTATCACCAGCTGATTGAGGGAGGGGATTGTCCTGCCCTGCTCTGCATTGGGGCAGCCTCACCTTGAATATTGTGTGCAATCTGGGCACTGAAATATAAGAAAGGCATGTATTAGAGTGTATCCAAAGGAGAGCTGCAAAGATGGTGAACAGTCTAGATGGAAAGCCATATGAGGAGCAGCTGAGGTCACTTGCTTCGTTCCAAGAGAAGAGGAAGAGGAAATGAAAAAACTCATCGCAGTCTGCAACTTTCTCATGAAGGGAAGCAGAGGGATAGGCACCGATCTCTTTTCTCTGGTGACCAGTCATAGGACCTTAGGAAATGGCATGAAGCTGTGTCAGTGGAGATTTAGGCTGGATATTAGGAAAAAGTTCTTTAACTGGAGGGTGATTGGGCACTGGAACAGGCTCCCCACGGAAGTGATCACAGCAACAAGCCTGCCAGAGTTCAAGGAGTGTTTGGACAACACTCTAAGGCCCATGGTGTGATTCTTGTGGTGGATCTGTGGCAGGGCTTGCAATTGGACTCTATGATCCTTGTGGGTCCATTCCAACTCAGGTGTTCTATCATTCCATGATTCACACTGTGTGCATTGATGTACAAATATTTCAGTTGTGCTCCTGAGCACTCCATGCTCCCAGGAGCAGCATATATATTTCCACCAGCACTGCTATCCCCAGGCTATGCCATGCCAACTCTTGGTTTACCTCCAGCTCTCCTGTTGGTATGCCCTTCCTTCATCAATTCTGAATTAAATCTCTCTCAATCAGTCCGTCCAGTTTATGAGCAAAGATACGTTTCTCCTGTTGGGACAGTGGATCCTGTCAGGTCCCAGCATACCTCCTGTCTCAAAGATTCCTCAATGGTTATAAAAACAAGCATTTTGGCAGAAGCACCAGTCCTGAAGCCAGGTATTGATATCTTGGGATCACTTGTTTCTTCTACTAAGTGACACATTAAGTGTCTCAACGTTACTGAGAGGATTGGGAAAACCACTACCTGTGCTCCTGAATTTTTTGGCATTCTTCCCAGGGCCCTAAAATCTCTCATGATCAACTTTGTACTTTTTGTTGGGATGTTACTAGTACCCATGTGAAAAAGCAGGAGTGGGTAATAGTCTGAAGGCTGTACTAAGCTCTTCCATCGTCTGGTGACATTCCTAAACTGGGCCCCAGGAAGGCAGCAAATTTGCCTAAAAAGATGTTCTGATCTGCAAGTGGGTGCTTCTCTTTCATGCAAGACAGAGTCACTAATGACTGTAACTTGCTATTGTTTCTTCTTGGTATGGGTTTAATGCAGATCTTGTTGCAAGAAGTTTGTTGGTCAGATCTTCACGAGAATGCTTGATCAGGTCCCTTCTCTTCTCTCTCACTGTGCACTTCCTCTGTCATACTCACGACCTTGTACCTATTCTATAAAGCCAGCTAAGAGGGTAAGAAGGGGTTTCTCTTACAGCTTTGTACAGTAACCCGCTTCCAGTACAGGAACCCCTCCCTGTCCTTCCTTTGTGCCTTCCTCCTGGCACAAACCAGATCTGGGCCTGCCCCTGTAGTGGCCCTGCAGAGTGGCTTGTGTGTATAGGAGATGTCAGAGGATAGATCCAACTGTGGTACAGCTGGGTAGAAGGGACTTTATTGTGTCTGTTGCTCTGTCTCATTTGTTTGTGTCATGCGTCTTGTCTCTGGAGATAAGGCATGGGGAAATAGGGAAGAAAGTGACTCTCCAATTTTAAGATTCTGAATGCCATGTGACAAGTTTGTATTAATTATGTTTTCTGTCAGAACAGTTCTTACTTCAGAACTTTGACCACTCTTCTTTACAGGGTCATACTTTGTCCTGTATAGAGTGCTGAGCTGCTCACGGCATCAGCAGGTTCGAGTCTTGTCACAGACATGGCAATGAGAAGGAAGGGGAAGACAAAGAGCTGTCCTGTATCTCTGATGTAGTTGAGCACTGATTTTTTTTTTTTTTTCTGTTTCTTTTTTCTTTTCTTTCCCCTGTTTCCATTTAAGTGGGATGAGGTAAGTGTCCTGGATGACAAGAAGCGCCTGATCCGGACCTTTCAAGTCTGTAATGTGGCTGAACCAGGGCAGAACAACTGGTTGCGTACTCACTTCATAGAGAGACGCGGAGCTCACCGAGTCCATGTCCGCCTCCGTTTCTCGGTGAGAGACTGTGCCAGCATGCGCACTGTGGCCTCTTCTTGCAAGGAGACTTTCACACTCTACTATCACCAGTCGGAGGCTGACATAGCCTCTCAGGACCTGCCAGAGTGGCGCGAGGGCCCCTGGACCAAAGTGGATACTATTGCAGCTGATGAAAGCTTTTCCCAGGTGGACAGCACTGGGAAGGTAGTAAAGATGAATGTTAAAGTACGTAGCTTTGGACCACTTACAAAGCATGGCTTCTACCTGGCCTTCCAGGACTCAGGAGCCTGCATGTCCCTGGTGGCAGTCCAAGTCTTTTTCTACAAGTGCCCAGCTGTGGTGAAAGGATTTGCCTCCTTTCCTGAAACGTTTGCTGGAGGTGAGAGGACCTCACTGGTGGAGTCACCAGGGACGTGTGTGCCAAATGCTGAAGAAACAAGCACGACGGGGTCTTCAAGTGTTCGATTGCACTGCAACGGAGAAGGGGAGTGGATGGTGGCCATTGGACGATGTACCTGCAAGGCTGGCTATCAGCCTGTTGATGATGAACGAGCCTGCGAAGGTGAGAGAACCTTTTTTTTCCACCCTTTAGGCAGCTACTTTTTTGTTGGTTCTCTGTATCAGCAGTATTTGGCACTAGCAAAAAGTTCACAGAGCTAAGGGGGTTAAACCATTTCTTAAAAGGAACGCCTACTAATAGTCTCTTCTGACACTTTTAGCACCTCAAATTGGAGCTGGAGGGGTTTAGGAATGGTATTCTTCAATTTAGTGCTTTGGCTAAAACTATGCTGCTGCTTGCTCCCCGTCTCCCTCAAACTGGAAGCATAAAAGGCAAAGATCACAGTTTAGAGCAATTTAGTGGAAACAGCTATGAAATAAGAAAATGAACAGTAACAGCAACAATATTAATAATGAAAGGTATAAGACAAAGAAATAATTTGCATGGAAAGTCCATGACAAATACCAATCAGCTCTTCCCTGCCACGTTTCCTCCGGACTTGAGGGAAGACCCTTCTCCTCAGGAGGGAAAGTCCTGTCCCACTGCCCCTGGCAATGACCCTAAGTGGTACAGAATAACATCTGGGGCCTGGCCACGCCCCTCAGCCACACCCCCTCCCAGCTACTGCAGAAATTACCTTGTCTGGCTGAAGCTGGGACACCACTTCATGGTGATGAAAACATAGTTGGAAACTCCACTCAGGCCTTAGTTCAAGGTGCCACAAGAGACGGCCTGTTATGCTACTTATACAGAATTACCAGGAGTTGTCAGTAGCCAGACCTGCCATAACTCCACTTCTTTAGCAAGAGGCAACAGTGTTCAAAGAAACATGCCACATAGAGCAGACCTGAGCTCAGAGCTAATAGAATCTACTTTCCTAGCTAGTTATGGCCCTTTTGCTAGTGATGTTGGAACTAGTAATTTAAAAAAAAAAAAAGGGAAATGACAGTAGCCTGGTGATGAGACAGGGAACATGTGTCAGGGCTGACCTGACAAGAAAAATTAGTCATAATGGTATTATTATTACCAGTAATGTACTCTCTGCCCAGGGGCCCATTATATTTTCTGTGTTTGTTGGAGGAAATAGAATAAATTATGTATCACCCATAAGTGATATTGGGCCAAAAGCCTGAACACCCAGTCTAATGTCATGACTGTATTCCTATCTCAAGCTTAAGACTATACATTAAAGGAAACTGCTTCTGTTGGTTATGTAATTTTTTGTAAGATGTTCTTCTCCTGCTTCCTTTGTTATAATATGCATCTACTCAAAATCTCTCAGCAATGTAAAATGTTGCTGCACCACGCTTACTAATCTAAAAAATAAATGTAATGTGGAAACAAGTTTTGGCTGCAGATACAATTTTAAAGTCGGATTATAATTTATTCAAATAAGAGTTTGAGTCGGGCATTAGGTGTATAAATATTCTGGTTAACACCAAGTGCAAGTGCAACAGATAATTAATGGCTGTCAATATACTACTTTACATTTGTGCTTCATGAAGTGATTTGAGTCATGTAAAATAGCTTTATTAAAATACAGGTCATTGTGCTGGAGACTTATAAAGCAATTAAAATTGGTAAGTGCTTTTTGTTTGTTTTAAACTTTGAGAATAATTAAAGTGTGTGTGTAACTACGTTCCTATAGTGCTTCTCCTGAGACAGTAGGCTCAGGTGGACATAGAGCAGCTCTATATGGCACTAGTTCTGCTGTCTGCATCAGTAGCATGACTAGTTCACAGTTTAGATAAAATGCCAGTCAATAATTTAGTATCAGATAGTAGTCTTAAGCACTCAAAAAATAATGAAATTAGGCTTGGTAAATAAAAATTTAAAAAATCTGTCTTCCATTTTTTGTACCATTCAGTAAAAGCTGATACTTCCTTGCAGCCTCATTATCACAGAAGCTGGAGAGAGATGAAAATGGTAAACACTATAAGGAATAACTGAAACAATGACAGTCTATCAAACTGCAAAACTCCACTCCCATCATTTACTTCCTGAGATTCCACGAGCAGCTTAGAGCAGCCAAAGACAACCAAATAATGAATCTTAATGTTAGAGGGTATTTTTTTCTGCTCATGTTTCTTGTAAACTCCTTTGGCTTGATCAGTGTTCCTGATCTCTTCTCCTGCTAACAATATGTTACTGTCCTGAATGGAGCCACATTCAGTTCGCGTGATTTCTTCCCTTGCTTGTTGTTTCTTTGTGTGGAGTCCTTTCCAGCACGTTGCCTCTATATGTATGTTCTCCCTTCCTAAGAACAGAAGTACACCATGATACAGAGCTGCTACAGTGTTCTAGATGAAATACAGAACAAAAGCAATAGCCCAAGGGGAGATTTCTACTGATGATACTGCAGAGAGCTCTTCTTAATAACACTGAAGAATCAACCAAGGATAGGAAGGAGAAGCAAGTTTCCTTCTTACACTTTAGTAGAAGAGTGTGTGGGCATTGCCTTCCCCCTCACCATATGCAGGCCTGTGGAGTCCTTCCTGGACCAGCTGTTACCTCTTTATTTAGAACAAAGAATCTGCCAAGAGCCATTCTGAGCAGATAGATAGAAAGCCCTTGTTTTTTCCCCCTGCCCCCTATCATAACTTAAGATACTTTCTTTTATTAGTTTTATGAGACTGACTGCTGTATTTTACTATATGGCAAATTTCTCCAGCTAGATAGAAGAGTGAAACAACAACCTTTCGTAAGCCCTCTGGCTGATGTGGGATGTACTCTGTGTATGGGATTCACTTTTGACCTTATCTGAGCAGACTTCTCATGCTGAACGGTCAGAAAGGAGAATGGGAGTTTACAGAGGGAAAAAAAGGAAGTTGGGACCTTAGCTCCTTTTCTTTGGGTAGATTTATACACACAGGGAACCTTGCCTGGTAAGGTTTTTTGCAACTTGTGTTTTTCCTCGTAGAAGGATGGAAGCAGAACATTCTGTGTGATTAGGCTGTCCTAGGCTACTGGTTCCCAAAATTCTGGGCTGATTGGCTGTTCTCCCAAGCCTTCTCTCTGATTGGCATATTCATTACTGAAAACAATTGTTCCTGAATCCATCCCCACAAACAATTAAATAATGTGTTTCATGGGATACACTGCCCACTACTTATCATTCCCATTTAGTTAAAAGTCATATAGGATTTAAGTTACCAGATGCTTTTGAAAACAATATTTTGAATTCATTACTGAGACATTTTTAAAGTATTTCAGAAATTGCATTGTGGACAAAAAGAAGATGAGAAATGACTGCTAGTTAAAGTGCTAAGCTGACTTCTGAAAGAAGAAGGACAGAGCTCAGGATAGAGATTAACTGATTTGCCATATCTGTGGCACCTCTGTACAAATGTATTTAGCTGAAGACAGAAAACTCTCGTCAGAGAGAGGAGGAGAGAACAAGTTTGGAGTGGAAAGAGTTAAGCTGAGCTTGGGAGAGGGAGGAGGAAAGGTGTTGTTTCAATGTTTGTTTTTGTTTTCTCATTATCCAAATCTATGTTAATCAGCAATAAATTAAATTAAATTTCCCCAAGCCAAGTCTGTTTTGCCTGTGATAGTAATTGGTAAACAAGCTCCCGGTCTTTATAACTTCTTTACCTCTGCCCACCAACTTTCTCATCCAATTTTCTCCCTATGTCTGGCTGAGGAGGAGGAGGAAGAGAGGTTAGCCATCCACATGCCTGCTTCTTCTCTCTTCTTTCCCTAAGAGTATTAAGCAAGCAAAAAGTCTGCCTGTCATCTGCAGTAGCTGTAAGGATTCTGTAAAATTGCCAGTGTCCTATGGCTATATGTAGTCCCTTCTGATTGCAGAAGGAATCAAAGGAGTATTTCATGTTTATTTTTCTATTACTAAAAGATGCCCTTTCTGACCATCCTGGATAAACTTTTATCAGTATATAAGGATAAGAAAATACTAAGATTTATGTTAGAGCAAAAGCTTCAGTAGTCTGATAAAAATATGCACATAACTATAAGCAAAGAAAAAAGCACAATAAGCTCTTCTCAAATTTTAATCACTTAAAAGATGTTTCCTTTAAAACCATAGCATAATTTACATTGTGGGGACCTGTGGAAGTGATCTTCTCCAACCACTGCTCAAAGCAGGACCAAATTGGGTTATGTCACTCAAGGCCTATTCTAGTCTAGTTTTCATTATTCCTAAAGATCAAGATTACACAATGTCCCTGGGCAACTATTCCAGAGTTTGACAACACCTGTGGTGAAATTACTTTTTCCTATGTAGAAGGAGATTTTAGTGAGATGTAATAAGAGGTTATTACAGCTTGTGTGTGTCATCTCATGTTCTACCACCTTGTGCCTGCACCTTCTTCATATCCTCCCATTAGGTGGCTGATGCCAGCCCTAAGTTTTCACCCCACAGCCTACTCTTTTTCAAAATGAAAATAACCAGTGTGTTAGCCTCTCCTGAGTAAGAGCTTTAATTTCAAGGTAATCTCACAGTTGACAATAATGTTTGGTGCCCTGAGCTAGATTACCTTTTTTCTTTTGTTTCTTTTTTTCTTTTCCCCTTCCATATTGCTCCTTTCATCAGTTGTTCTACTACATACACATACATTCTGGTGCTTTTCAAGTAGCTTGCTGCTTTCTCTGTATCAAGTGCTTGCTCTAGACTCGTATTTCATCCTTACTCTGCCCAAATCTTTCCTCTCTTGTTTTTGCCTTTTTTTCCTTCACACAACCCATTCCCTGGCAGTCCTCCCATGTATAATTAGATAGTAATTGCTTCAGCTCTGCCTCTTTTAACTAAAAAATCCCTTACTCAACTGATCTCCTATCAACAGTTCAGCAGGAAAGGGTTGGTTCTTAGTCATTTCATTTATTATATCTCAGTTGATTTGATGCTTTCCTTTAAAACTCAAAATTCACACTTTTCTCTCCTTATGTGTCTTTTATTTTCTACTGTCTCTTCCCCACCCAAACAGCTGTAGCAGCAATGAAACTAGACCAACCTAGGGCACTATTACTTCACCATGACTTGCTTCTACCTCCCTCTGATCCCACCTCCCTCAGAACAGGATGCAAGATGTACAGTAACAGCCTGGCCC